AAAACATGGAAAGAGCCTAAGTGTCCATCAACAGATGAATGGATCAAGAAGATGTGGTTTATCTATACCATGGAATACTACACGGCAATGAGAAACCATGAAATCTGGCCATGTGTAGCAACACGGATGGACCTTGAGGGTGTTATGCTGAGCGAAATAAGTCAGGCAGAGAAGGACAAATATCATATGTTTGCATGTATAGGAGGATTAAGAGGAACTTGACGGAGGAACAAGGGGGAGAAGAAGGGCGGAAATGGTGGGGGAAAGGGAGAGAGGCAAACCATGAGAGACTCTTGAATGCTGTCAAAAACTGAGGACTGATGGATGTGGGGGGGAGGGGGGAGATGGACATGGAGGAGGGCACTTGTGGGGATGAGCACTGGGTGTTATGTGGAAACCAATTTGACAATAAACTATATGTAAAAAAAAAAAAAAGGGAGAAAATTATATGAAGACTTAAGTCCCTCTACTGGTGGTTTTCTTATGTGCACTAGAAGTAACTTATGTAGGGTTAAAAGTTAACTCATTTTTTGACTGCTCACACTATATGACTATATGTGCCAACTCATGTTTTACTTAATCCTGATATCGAGTGGGAGTTTAAAAAAACTGGCCAATGTCAGGTGAAGGGCACCTGGATGGCTCAGTGAGTTATGAATTTATCTCTTGGTTTCAGTTTACAAGGCCATGGACTTATGGCTTGTGAGTTCAAGCCCTGCATCAGGCTCTGCACTGACAGTGAGGAGCCTGCTTGGGATTCTCTCTCTTCCCCCCTCTCTCTCTGCCCCCCGCCTTTTTTTTTTTACCTCTCTTCAAAAGAAAACCCAAAAAGCAAAACCACAAAAAACAAAAACAAACAAAAATCCCACAAATATCAAGGGAAGATGTCAGCCCTGCTGCCCTAAACCTACTCCAAGATCTCAGCTTGTGATTTTTGCCCAGGACCCTCCACAGAAGAGTTGCTCTTCAGACAGGAGGAGTGTGCCATGCCTGCTCGGAAAAGAGGCCTGGAAAAAAGCAAATGGGAAACGTGGCTACAAGAAAACTGGGAGCAGTGCATGGTGAGAGCTTACAAGACAGAGAGCGTCTCTTTTCCCCACTGACTCTGTTATGACCCCTGTGCCCCCCTCCATTTTAAGGGCAATTGCTAGCATAAATATCAAAACTTCCAGCATTTCTAGGGGCACCAGGGTGGCTCAGGAGGTTAAGCGTCCGACTTCAGCTCAGGTCATGAGCTCGCAGTTTGTGGGTTCCAGCCCCACGTCAGGCTCTGTGCTGACAGCTCAGAGCCTGGCATCTGCTTCAGATGCTCTGTTCTCGCTCTCTCTCTCTCTCTGCCCCTCCCCCACTCACACTCTGTCTCTCTCTACCTCAAAAATAAACAAACATTAAAAACAAAGCTTTCAGCATTTCTTTGGAGTTTTCTCTAAAACTAGTGGTGTTTGGGCTTCTGTATCTCTTTGCTCAATGCTTCGTCATCATGACGTGTTACTTATTTTCTAACCTGTGTCTTATCCTAATGTTGCTACATTTTTGAAAAGTTTAACACACTCAAGAATGACATTGTTCCTTTTGATAATAATAAATGTCAAAGGCTTGTACAACATTCCTTACAATGAGTTTATGATGTCACCTGGAATCCCCCGAACAATGCATTATGCCAAATACTTGGATCAGCTGGAGAGCCAGCCTGGTCTGAACACAACTATCCCAGAACAAACAGAGCTTTGTGCCAGTGAAAAATAGGAGCTGTGATTCCCTGATGCTGAAAATGACCCAACTGATGGAGCCACCAGCATTGAAAACAGCGCCTGCAGTCAGTCAACCTGGGCACCACAAGGCTATGGGGCCGTGATTCTTCAAGCCTCTAATTCCAGCTGGATCAAGTCATGTTAGGCAGGAAAGGTGTAAATGGGAAGGACATGTTGGTAGCAGTGAAAGAGTAAATCAACTTCTCAACAGAGCAGGATGTCAATATTTTTGTTTTTTAGAGTGACTAAATTGTATGTGAAGAATTGAGGAAGGCTCCCGGAAACGACTGAGTTTAAAACCTGCTCTGTGGGGCCTCTTGATGCCTCTTTTGTTTCACAGATTGGCCGTTTATGTTTTAGAATTATACAATTAGGAGGTGGGAAGGAGCTTCAAAGAGGGTCTGGTCTAAACCCCTTCCTTTCAAAAAGGAGAGGGAAGTCCAGAAAGAGAATTGATTTGCCAAAGGTTACATATCTTGGTAGTAGAAGATATAAAAATAGAAAACTTTTCCCTTAACAGTGTTTTCTTTTCTTTTTAAAAGTAAAGTTTTCATATATAATGGATGGATACATCCTACCCTTAAAAATTTAAACCATATGCCTATTTATTAAAAACTTTAATGAATACATCTGAAACTTTGACCTCCACTCCCAGAAATATCTTTAGAGGTAATCATTGTAGGGTATATATGCATTCATTCTTTAAAAAAAATTTTTTTATGTTTATTTATTTTTGAGACACAGAGTGCAAGCAGGAGAGGGGAGAGAGAGACACACACAAAATCTGAAGCAGGCTCCAGGCTGTCAGCATAGACCTGATACAGGGCTTGAACTCACAAACCATGAGATCATGACCTGAGCTGAAGTCAGACACTTAACCAACTGAGCCACCCAGGCACCCCTATGCATTCATTCTTTATGGCTGCCATTTAAACCATGGATATATTGAAAAGGCCTATGGAGACTTTATAATAAATTATCATAGAAAATTTAATTGGCCTTGAGATAACTGTACTCTAGGAGAATGGCTAAAGAAACTAACATAGAAAACTTAATTGGGACATAGTGGCCCAATAAAAGCCTCTCTGAGGAGGTATCGTTCAATATAGGATGATAGATATAATCTGTTATCATTTCTTAAGTTTTATTTTGGAATTAAGGCTTTTTATACTTTTGGAAAATGCAACTTAAAGTGTCAAAGTTTATAATGTTTAATGCCTAAAAGTATCAAGACTTTAAAATGATCTTTTTAAAGAGATACCTATATTTCTTTAAAATTATTTTGCTTCAAATTTTTTAAAAAGGGGATTGCCATTTTATTCAATAATTTTATTGACAGAACTTAATGGTAAAATTGTGTGAACAGAAAAGTTAAGTCGACTTTTAGGAATAGAGCGTACAAGAGCAATGGTCTCGTAAAACCACCAAAAGTGGTTTTAATTTTCTTTAAATCGATGTTGACTGATGTTAAAAGCAAACACAAAGTATCCACGATCTGTGAAATATGCTAAGTCATTGTTAGGTATGTATTCCTAACTACTTTAAAAGAAAATCATAGCTTTCACCTTTTGAATGATGGTATCGTACTTTGAAATCTTTTTAAATGTGATTTCTGAGTATTTCCAAAGAGGATAAATGATAACAAATCATTTGAATCAGTTATTCCAAAACAGTTTTATCCTTTCCACTCTTTAACATCAAGAGAATTTCAGACTCAGTTTCAGGATCCTCCCTTCCCCACCTCCAACCCTGGATGTAATTCTAATCAGGATCAGGTCAGAATCTTTACCTCCCCTACCTTGAGAATGAATCTCTGCGAGGTAATTGTGAGTGTTTGGATATGTGGGTGTTTTAAGGGACACACACAAAAAGGTGAAAACTACTGGTTTAAATAACATATACAATGCATTTTTAATTAATAACTATTTTTAAAAGTTGACAAAGAACTTGCTTTTTCTTTTTATTTATTTTTCCCTTCAGAACTTGAACCTTTCATTTCAGGATTTGGGGGACCCTTATCAAGTTGCAAATTTTAACAGGATTCTCCGAAGACTAATTCGAGTTGAAAACCTCTGGTTAGTGGATAATTCACTGGTGGACTTAAGTGCCATAAGATTGCCAAGGTACCTGCTCGTTAGCATGTCTAGTTACTAAGTTAAAGTCAAATCTTTGCTATGTGGACATATGTGACTATTGTCTGCACATACTGTAGGCCATGTGGTCAGGTCTTAAAGGCGATAGCTCTAAATGATGCCTGGACAAGGCAAAAATGGAAATTTATATATCAAAATGTCACATGTTACAGGAAAAAATCCATTCTTTTTTTTCCCATGTATGTTTATTTATGAGTGAGAGAGAGAGAGAGGGAGACAGGACATGAGTGGGGGAGGGTTAAAAAGGGAGAGAGACACAGGATCTGAAGCAGACTCCAGGCTCTGAGCTGTCAGCACAGAACCCAACATGGGCTCAAACCCACAAACCATGAGATCATGACCTGAGCCGAAGTTGGTTGCTTAACCAACTGAGCCACCCAGGTGCCCCTAAATATATTCTTTTCTAAGTTAGTATTACCATCAATTTTTAGAGGAGAAATTTGCTATCATAGAATCAAATTGGCAAAAAAGCTTGCCAAAATCCTTGTATTGTACACAGGAGATGCAATTACATTATACAAATGCTATTGTTGTAAGATAGAAATTTTTAGTCAGATTTGTTGAGCACCTATGAGGAAAGGCTCTACAGATAGTTGACAAGAATCTTGGCTTCAAGATCATAGTCTAAAGGAAGGGTGAGGGTAACCAATCAGAATAGCGACAGAAACAAACTAGTTTTTAAAAATATGCAGACTCTTCAGTCTTCCAAGGATCCTGAACTCCTGATGTTAAAGATAATCTGCCTTTTTGCTCAAGATTGTAGAGAGCTGCTGTCAGCTTCACCAGGCACAAAGGGTAGGTAGTGCGAGCTTTGTTAGCAATCCAAGGAGCAAACAGAGGTCTCAAGGAGAGAAGTAGGAGATGAAGGACATCAGGCAGCCACAGGAAGGAAGCATAAATCCTAGAGCAGGTTAAGATATATCCCTGAGGGTAGACTGAGTCAGGACAAAAAAAAGACCATCACAGCCACAAAGGAGAGGGAAACAGGTGGAGATGGAAGAAGTCTCAGGATATGCAAGGTACCTGGGTTATCTTCAATCATGTCTAAAGCCCCTTGGAAACTTAAGACAGATTTGCATAGCATTTGATTTTACTTATGTTCTTTTTAACTAACAAATTTTAAAGTATATAAATAAAAATTATCAAAAGAAACAATATCACTACTATCAATAAAAACTCAAAGGCAGTTGATATTGATTTATTCAGTTTTTTGCCTTTTTTTTTTTTTTTGCCAGACTCCATTCTAGGGATATAATAGTGATATATTAATTATATTTTTAATATGTATTTGAATACACATACAACCAAAAGTCTTTTTAATAATCACATGGCATACTTTAGGAATACTGAACCAGAAGATACTTGGAGTATTTGAACTTGACTGGATCCAGATCCATAAACTTTCAAATCTTTGCTATCTTAAGTGAAAATAGAGAGAGAAACCACAATAACTAAAGAAAAGACTTGACCCAGGTTTAGTGTTCTCTAGATATGTATTCTTTTGGCTTTTCTTTCATTAGAAATAGGATATATAAGGGACCTCTGGGTGGCTCAGTCAGTTAAGCATCTGACTTTGGCCAGGTCATGATCTCACAGTTCATGAGTTTGAGCCCATGTCAGGCTCTGTGCTGACAGCTTAGAGCCTGGAGCCTGCTTCAGATTCTATGTCTCCCTCTTTCTCCGTCCCTCCCCTGCAAAGCACCCTGTTTCTCTCAAAAATAAACATTAAAAAAAGAAATAGGATATATAATATAAAAATACGTAATTGCAATTCAGATTTTACACCTGCCAACTCAGCGTGTCAAAGGAGAAAAAAGTTGATGCATGTGTATTCATAGCCTCCTGCCTTCTGCCCCAGGAAAACACCACACGGGGTTTCCTGTTCTGCTTCCCTAACATCCTGCTAACTGGGGATCTGTGGGGGTGAATCCGGGACCCTGGGAGGGGTGTGTGTTGAAAGGGAGGTCCCAAGAGTTCATTTTTGCTTTTATTACCTTTGCCTCCAGAGACATGTCTAGTAAGAAGTTGCTGCAGCCGAGGTCAAAGAGGTTGCTGCCTGTTTTCTCCTCTAGGATTTTGATGGCTTCCTGTCTCACATTTAGGTGTTTCATCCATTTTGAATTTATTTTTGTGTGTGGTGAAGGGCATTAAGGAGCATACTTGTAGAGATGAGCACTGGGTGTTATTCGTGAGAATCAGTGGGTTCTACTCCTGACACCAATACTACATTGTATGTTAACTAATTTGTATTTTAATAAATAATTTTTTAAAAAAATAAAATGAGGGAATGACCAGCAGATGAGAAAAGATTTCACAGGAGGACAGAGAGAGGGTCAGAGAGACAGGAACTGCTTGGGCTGGGTTTTCAATTACAAACTGTCATAGTCTAAAGATGAGGTGTAACCTGGAAATGAGTAAAAACCCCAGATTATCAAATGCATGATAAGGACTGTGTGAAATATCCATGTGGAGAGGGAGTGGAAGGAAACAAGGAAATGAAAAGAATAGATGTGGAAAAAATTACTATGAAATCTGGGAGGGGGGGTTCAAACTGAATTTTTCTTTTTAAATTTTTTTTTCAAATATACACATTGAATTTTGCTATCACCATTTTGTGGAAGTGCTCTCTCTGCTTCACACCATCTTTACCATTAGCAATAATTATTACTCCATAATTATTACTAAGTGTCCTTATGGGGTACAGGGCCCATAAGTAAGTTCCCTGTGCTTTTCTCATGGTATTAAATCCCAATTTGTACATAAAGGAATTTTTCCTTAAGGCAAGGTGTCAGCGACAGCTTTTGAATTATTTCTCCTATTTGCGTGGTCTTACACAATTAAGGCAAAAATACCGAGAAACATTATATGTCAGGAAAATATATTCAACTTAAATGCCTAACACACATTTCTTCTCCTAAGGATTTAATTTAATTAAATTTCCTTTTTATATAAAAGTCTTTTTTATTATTTAAAACACTATTTTTTTCAATATAGATTTTCAGTACTGGAAAGTGGGAAGAGAAAAACCAGCTATAATCAGTACTTATAGGCAATACTCTTCACAAGTTATTATGTGTCTGTGTGCACAACTATATCACTGAGATTATATGCAGCCATTCACTCTTTCATTTGGGACATATTGTGAATCCATCATGGATCAAATATTGGGCCAAATACTAAGTGTCTACATTAGAAAAGAAAACAGATTCCTGCACTCAGCAAGTGTACTGTCTTATATATTCTACTTATTTTCTCTGAATATTTTAATATAAATATTTTTCTTCTCTTAGGAGCCACACTTGCAGAAAAGGTCATTGTCACTTCTTTGAGGGGTTGTGGTCTAGGTGAGGCAGGCTAGTCCTACACTAGATTTGGTCGTTAACCATCCTCTTTGGGAGCCAAATGACAAGTGTTTCTATTTTATATCCAGATGCAGAGTTTTAAATATGAACCAAAACCATCTCACATCTTTCAAACAATTGCCAAAGATACCCCAGATACGGCATTTATCCTTGGCTGAAAACCACATTGAGTCTCTGACTGGGCTCTCCAGTTTGCAGTGCACTCCATTAGAATCCCTTGTGCTCAAGAGGAACCCTTGTGAGTTTCACCAAAATTACCGGAAACGGTAAGGCCCCAAACACCTTTGTCATCTACGTTCTTTATTGAATGTGACACTTTTAACAGTTGTTCTCCTCTAGCTTAAATTCCTTGGCAAACATTTATCATATCTACTAAGAGCTGAATGTTTCATGCTTCTGAGCTCATCTAAAGAACTTTAAACTGATCTTTTAAAAAAAATCTTTAATACACTCTTCTTTCCATTAGTTTATGATTACTTTAAAAGTTTAAGCTTCTCTTGATATATGACTTTACATATATATACACAAAGATGCTTCATTTTAGACTTTCATTATTCTATGCGCTTTCTATCTAATCTTTAAAAGATATTATGTCTTTTAAAAAATTTCTACATATAGAATCCAATAGAGGCCCATGTGATAATTTTATAAATTGTTTATTCTCTGGTTTTATTTTCACCCCTTCGGGGCATGGGAGTACAATTAAGTGAATACAAAGAAATAATTGATTCAATCTACCCTAGTGGTTGAAAGTCCTTGAAAACCTGTGAAGAACAAACCATCTTAGTTCTTTGTCACTACTGGAACAGTACTAACGATAATGAAGGAATCTATGCCTTGGAATGTACAGAAAATTCTATGCCCACCCCTATTTCTCCCCAGCTAATTCCCAGCAGCACTTGCAGAAAACTTAAAATAATAAGAGACTGAGTTCTAGAACCTGTATTTGCCCCCAAATAACAAGTCAACTCATGTCTGTTTGAATCTGTCATACAAAGGATTAGATCACCTCTAGGTCCATACCTGGTTTATGATTACTTCCTTTATCCACATTCAACTTCTATAAAAGACATAGTTCTCACTATCTTCCTTTCCGAAACTGCTGTTTTCCCATGACGACAATGATATTCCAGAGGCCTAACATTAGACTCGTCAACCCCTGAAGTACAACAAAAAATTGTCAAAATAAAAATTCTAATCTCTGCTGTTCCTACATAAATCTCATTACTGCCACTGTCTCCCCCATGACTGTAAACCAAAGGCAAAATTCGTGTTCTGAGATAATAAATTCTTGAATTGCTTTTACATAAGTGAAAACTAGCAGCACAGTTGCTTTAAAATTGAGCTAATATTTAACCATCATAACATTTTGAAGTTTAATATTATGTTTCCTCCAGTCCAAGGAGATTTAACTGGACATTTCAACATCATTCCAAAAAAAGGCACATTTCTAGTCATAAAGACAATTTATTAGTATTACCTTTTAGTTTTGCTCATTTATTATGTGGGGTTTTACTTTGATCCCATTTCAGTCACTTGTCTCCCTTCAAAGGATGCCTTACAATAGAATTAAGATTAACTGTCTGAAATCTGATATGCCCTGAGGTCTCACTATGAATCTGTCTTCACTATTTATGATGTGGTATAGAGTTATGTGAGAATGAGGGATATAATGAGGTTCTTCTCTTTTCTAACATTAACTCTATTGGATTGAGTCCAAGGTGGATATAGACTGGCATTCAAGCTATAAAAAGCCAGGCTGTATTGATCTGAGTAGTCCAGGGTTACTTTCAACATAAAGATGCAGACATTGTAAAGTATGAGGAAAGGATTTAAGTATCCACTTCTGCTGAGAAACTAAACTGAAGTACCAAGTTCATCCAAATTTGGGCTACACCTAGCCCCGAATTCACACTTTGAGGATTATAACAGCATTCATTTTTGTCTCCGGGTATCTCTGTGTCAAGATTTGGACTAGATCTTCAGTGACCCTTTACAATATGATCAGAATAATTTAAGTATAAAATTTTCTTGATCATTGTCACCTAGATTGTGACTATCTTTCCCTTCCTCCTTTGTTTCAGAGCCTCCAAAAAGAAGAGAGCACAGTTCAAAAGAGAAAAAACTTACTGATAAAGCTCATAGTGTAAGTCCCAGTAGGTAGAAGGTAGCCCCATTTCCTGGGTGTCCTAGGAAAATTCTTCTACTATTCTTCAGAAGACAATGTGATCTTAGTTCACCACAGTTTGACTTTTTGATCAGAAGTATTGGTTAGAGTCTCCTGTCAGCTGAGTCTAAACACTAGGGCCAGAAGATTTAGATTTTATCTTTGCTTTGTCACCTGCAGGCTGTATGATCTCGGATAAGTGATTTAAAGTGGGGGATAAAAACCAACCTACCAGAATTGGTGTCAGGATTAAGTAAGACAACGTGCAGGAAGCATTGAGAGCTAAGAAAATCATGAAGCCAATGACAGCATCCCAAGGAGGTCAATGCCACCCTTAGTTGACATGGCATGTCTGCTAATAGGCTTCAGTGTCTTTCATCCTGGGCAAATCCCAGTGCAGGAAATTTCCTCCGTTCTGAGCCCACAGAATTCCCAGATCTAGAGCAGCTCTCCACTTGAAAGGAAACACTGCTTTATAATGCTGCTCGGTATTTGACTACTGTTTATCAAGGCTGACATGCAGGACCCCCTGGTGAACCGCGAAGGGGTAAATTACACCTTCCTGAACCCGGAAGGTATAAATTTAAAATACAAGCTTCAAAAATGCTCTCTGTCATGAGAAAATCATGCAGCACAAGATTATTCCCCACCCCTTTTCTTATACCTCACAGAGAGAACTCTTCCTTATTAGCAGTGAACAATATGCGCTTTCTTTACTTTTTCCATTTTTAAAATCTTTTAACTTGGTAATGTGTACATATCTCATTATCTCATTCTTTCTCTCATGGTTAGTTGGCTAAATTCTCTCATTTTTTTTCCTTTATAGAATTTTTTAGAAATGGGCCTTAAATTCTCTTGTAAAAACAGACTGTACTTCTCTGATCTATATTTAGAATTGGCAGAACTATATAGTAGCTCTTTGAGAGGACAAGCTACGGCAAGGTGATCAGCTCAATGCACATGAATAGTATTTTATTAGAACTCTATTGCAAAGATTTAAAAAATAAAATAAAATGGTAGACACTCATCTTTCTTGTAACAATAGGCAAAGTCCACTTATTTATAAAGAAAGTAAAATACAATGCTTCTGTTCAACACAGTTACTTTTTCTTTTTTCAACTTCTGATTTAGAGTATTCTCCTGTTTGCCAAACTTGAAAATGCTCGATGGAATCCTGAAGCTACCAGAAGATTCTTCACCACCAGAAAGCAATGTTTTTTCAAAACTATGTATTACATCTTAATGCAATCTGTAGAGAAAGAAATCACTACTGTCTATAAAAGCTAATAAATATAGGAGATGCATAACTAAATATTGTTGTTTTCTATATATATATTTATATATTGTTTTCTTTTAAACTAGTGATTTTCCAGGGTTTTTTAAAATTTTATACCTCGTCAGTAAATAAATTTTGAGCATACATATATAATTAATTTTTATTTAAAAACCTTTTTAAATTATACATATATAATCTAATTTTTATTTAGAAATCTTATTCATAAAATACTAGAGAAGTATACATGTATATTTTAAACATTGAAAAGAGAGATAGTTAAGTGATGGAATAAAAACAACGTGAATAAGGGCTCTAAGTTTTTCACATGCTTCAGGGACTCATCTATCCAGCATTGGGTGATGAGTCCCTTACTCTGATAGTACTGCTTTAAATATCTGACCTATCAAAAGGAAGAGGGACAACTGTGTGATTTTTTTTTTTTTGGTGTCTAAGCTTTTCTTTTCTTTTCTTTTCTTTTTTTTTACAAATAGTTTATTGTCAAATTAGTTTCCACATAACACCCAGTGCTCATCCCCACAAGTGCCCTCCTCCATGCCCATCCCTCCTCCCCGCCACATCCATCAGTCCTCAGTTTTTGTCAGCATTCAAGAGTCTCTCATGGTTTGCCTCTCTCCCTTTCCCCCACCATTTCCCCCCTTCTTCTCCCGGTTGGTCCTCTGTTAAGTTCCTCCTAGTCCCCCTATACGTGCACACATATGATATTTGTCCTTCTCTGCCTGACTTATTTCGCTCAGCATAACACCCTCAAGGTCCATCCATGTTGCTACACATGGCCAGATTTCATTGTTTCTCATTGCCATGTAGTATTCCATGGTATAGATAAACCACATCTTCTTGATCCATTCATCTGTTGATGGACACTTAGGCTCTTTCCATGTTTTAGCTATTGTGGAGAGTGCTGCTATGAACATTGGGGTACATGTGCTCCTATGCCTCAGCATTTCTGTATCCCTTGGGTAAATTCCTAGCAGTGCTATTGCTGGGTCATAGGGGAGTTCTATTGTTAGTTTCCTGAGGAACCTCCACACTGTTTTCCAGAGGGGCTGTACCAGTTTACATTCCCACCAACAGTGTAGGAGGGTTCCCGTTTCTCCACATCCTCGCCAGCATCTAGAGTTCTCTGATTTGCTCATTTTAGCCACTCTGACTGGCGTGAGGTGGTATCTCAGTGTGGTTTTGATTTGTATTTCCCTGATGAGGAGCGATGCTGAGCATCGTTTCATGTGTCTGTTGGCCATCTGGATGTCCTCTTTGGAGAAGTGTCTGTTCATATCTTCTGCCCATTTCTTCACTGGGTTGTTTGTTTTTCGGGCGTGTAGTTTGGTGAGTTCCTTATAGATTCTGGATATTAACCCTTTATCTGATATGTCATTTGCAACTATCTTTTCCCATTCCGTTGGTTGCCTATTAATTTTCTGGGTTGTTTCCTTGGCTGTGCAGAAGCTTTTAATCTTGATGAGGTCCCAACAATTTATTTTTGCTCTTGATTCCCTTGCTTTTGGGGATGTGTCAAGTAAGAAGTTGCTGCGGTGGAGGTCAAGGAGGTTGTTTCCTGCTTTCTCCTCTAGGGTGTTGATAGTTTCCTGTCTCACGTTCAGGTCCTTTATCCATTTTGAGTTTATTTTTGTGCATGGTGTGAGAAAATGATCTAGTTTCATTCTTCTGCATGTTGCTGTCCAGTTCTCCCAACACCATCTGTTAAAAAGGCTGTCTTTTTTCCATTGGATATTCTTTCCTGCTTTGTCAAAGATTAGTTGGCTGTATACTTTTGGGTCCACTTCTGAGTTCTCAATTCTGTTCCATTGGTCTATGTGTCTGTTTTTGTGCCAATACCATACTGTCTTGATGATGACAGCTTTGTAGTAGAGGCTAAAGTCTGGGATGGTGATCCCTCCCGTTTTGGTTTTATTTTTCAGGATTACTTTGGCTATTCGGGGTCTTTTGTGGTTCCATACAAATTTTTGGATAGTTTGTTCTAGTTTTGAGAAGTATGCTGGTGCAATTTTGATGGGAATTGCATTGAATGTGTAGAGTGCTTTAGGTAGTAATGACATCTTAACTATATTTATTCTTCCTATCCATGAGCATGGAATGTTTTTCCATTTCTTTGTGTCTTCTTCTTTTTCCTTCTTAAGTTTTCTATAGTTTTCTTCATACATATCTCTTGTATCCTTGGTTAGGTTTATTCCGAGGTATTTTATGGTTTTTTGTGCAATTGTGAATGGGATCTGTTTCTTGATTTCTCTTTCTGTTGCTTCATTGTTGGTGTATAAAAATGCAACTGATTTCTGTACATTGATTTTGTACCCTGCAACTTGGCTGATTTTAAGTCTCGTGCACTGGATTTTTCACTTTAAACATTCTGTCATTCATTAGTGATTTCGATACAACAGAAATTTAGGAAGGTCCTAGGCCATTCATGAGATATTTAGAAAATAAACAGTAATGGTAAAGCTTTTTGTTCGGAGAAGTTCATAAATGTGATTTTAAAAATGCCTTTCCTATACATTAGAGAGAAGGAATACAATTCAATTTAATTGCTTTCAAAATTTAGAGAAACGTCAACAACTAGACCATCTCATGACCTTATAGTTTTCCTTCCTTCCTTGTAAAGATCAAGTTAGTTGCAGAACTAAAACTTTCCCAAGACAGTTCATCAATTAGATGCTTCCTAGCCTGAAATAAGGAAAATGTTTTCTAGAGCATCCTGCCATGGGTGTATGCTGCTTATCCAATTATATAACAAAGATTCTAACAAGACCAAGGTACAGTCCCTTCTCCCAAGCATCTCATGGATGACTAAAGTAGACCCCACATACATAAGACCTAAGACACAATGAAATATGTTATTTATATTGTGGGAGGAAGAGATTTAATTTTAAATTATGGGAAGCCAAAAAAAAAAATTGTAGGACGCCACTTTGAGGAGAAAACTTTATAGAGTTTTAAAGAAGTCACTTTACAGAGAAAAGATATTTTGAGACGGATGTTAGAGATCCACAGGTAGCAGATAGTAGCAGGTTGTACCAATCAGGAAGCAAAGCACAAAAAGGGCCACAAAGACCAGAAAGTGTATGTTAGTGAGGAATGGGCCTGGCTACAAAAGTAAACCTAAATTGACAATGGTTTAAAAAGAGTAACAGTAGGAAGCCCAGGGTGGCTCATCCAGTTAAGTGTTGGACTCAGTTCACGTACTCAGTTTGTGTAGGCTCAGTTCATGATCTCACACTGGGCTCCACTGTGAAGCCTGCTTGGGATTCTCTCTCTCTCTCTCTCTCTCTCTCTCTCTCTCTGCCCCTCCCTCGCGTGCTCTCTCTCTCAAGATAAACAAACTTTTAAAAGATTTTTCAAAAAGAGTATTAGAAATAATAATAGCTACAATTATTGAGTATATGCTGTGTTTCAGGCATAAGATAGACATTGTACATCCATTATTTAAATCCTCAGAAAACTGTGAGGTTCCAACTATTCTCATCATTAGTAGGGCTATCTGAGGCTCAGAGAGGTTATATACTTTGGTTAAGGTGACCCAAGGTAGGTCACACGACTATTTCATGGCAAAGGCAAGATTCAACACCTTTCAACACGCTTGCTGTATCTTCTAAGAATATAGTATTAATTTAAAAATTCTAGATGGTATTTTCTATTTCCAGAGACAGCATCATCTCCAATAATCCATCACAAATACCTGCATTTAATTTAACCAAAGAATCATCATTCCTTGAACATACCTTAAATTTTCCTTGTTCAAGTCTTTCCTACTCTCTGCAATATTTTTCACCAGAAGTTACCCCTAAGAAAACCCTCCTTCTTTTCAAGGCTTATTCCAAATACAATTTCCTCCAAAAGTCTTCCCTTATCTTTTCCATTGGATGTTTCCTCTGCATCCCAAAGTGCTTAAAAAGTATTGGTCTTAAGGCACATTTTCTTAATAATGCCTCCACTTGATTTTTATTTAAATGTATACTTCGCTTGCTCCCCAAAAAAGGGCTGTAATTCTGAAATAAGAAAGTGGATACATTGCAGTTTAGATGTTTATGCATGTATCCTTCTGTTTCTCTAAATCAGGATAGGAAAACATCTTCTCTAAAGAACTAGAGAATAAATATTTCAGTTGACCATATGGTCTCAGTCTTAACCACTCAACTCTGCCGTTGTAGTGCAAACGTAGCCATTGACCATATGTAAATGAATGAGTGTGGTTGTGTACTAGCAAAGCTTTATTTACAAAATTATGTAGTAGTCTGTAGTTCGCTGACTCCTCTAAATGTTAAAGTCATGTGATTGACTGCTTTACTCTTAAACAGTATCTATTGTCTTGTAGGCTTAGATGAAGTGTTTATTTCCCTACTCCTTGAAGTTAGATGTGTCAAACAGCTTGATTTGGCCAATGAAATACAAAAGAATATGATGTAGGTCAACTGCAGGCAGAAATTTGAGAATCAGTTTGTGCTTTGTCACACTTTCATTTTTTGTGCCATGCCAGCAGACAAATTACCAGATAGAGGCTGCTCCATTAGCCTAGGTTCTGCAGTGAATCTGATCTGGCACAGAGCGACAGTCATCCTACAAGGATGTATACAGCAAGATAGTAGACCCATGCTATCAACTCTGTGATTCCATTTGATGCTATACCACAGCCTAGACTTTCCCAACAAATACAGCTCCTTAAATTTAAGGGATGCAAGTTAAATATTCATTGATGTGTTTTGCCCCCAAAATAGTATAGTAGGTACTCAAATGTTGAAGGAATGAATAAATGTCTATTACAGGAAAACATGAATGGGGCAGTGGAATGGCCAGGTAGGTCACAACTATAATAGTTTAGGTGAAATGTATTAAAAACTTTAATTAGGGCAACAGTAGTGAGAAGAGTTCCAAAAAATGAAGGCATGAACAATCACGGATGATAGCGAACAAACTGTCTTATTGTTTAAGCAGATTTGAGTTGTTTATTACCTGAAGGCAAAAACATTCTGGCTGGCAAAGAAAATTACCGGATTGGGGGTAAGTGG